TGTTGTGTAGACATGTTGTGTAGACATGTTGTGTAGTCAGTGTGTGTAGCAGATCGTCGACTCGTTCACAACAACAGGAACATGTGAGAAACATTCAGGCGAGGGGCGGAGCCTGTAGAGCAGCAGGAGGCGGGACATGACGTATGAATTCTGCTGTGGAAAGATCAGTGTTGACCCAAACCCAATCGCTCTGTCCCTCTTTTCTCTTAATGTAGAACCTCTGACATGTTTCCATCCTGAGCAGAACATTAGAACACAGTCGCCAGATGAAGGAACACAAACCTCTGAAGTACATGAAGCGACTGTGGATTCCTACCGAGCTGTGTGCTGGTCGGACGCAGTTTATCAGGCTGTGAGCTCTATGAGGGCGAGATGATGCAAGACCACCCAGGTGGAAAACCAGTGCCAGCCTCTGTGCTCACAATCAGACTTTGATTCAAAGGCTTGACCCTAACATCAAGAAGTGGGACGGGACATCAACGCCACCGGAGCTGAAACTATTTTATGTTTTGATAAAAGAAAAAAACATTTCTGATAAGGAGCTATTCAAAAAAATGTGTGATTGAAGAAGAGACCATCACAACTAAATGCATAACACTAACCTAATTCTAACATTTCTGGTTCTTTGACTTATAGTTAATTATGTGCTTGTGTGTTTATGCAGAGGTCATACACATTGATAGTGGAAGCTTTGGACTTCAACAACGACTCGTCCTCTAGCGGTGAGTATCATCATCATCGTCTTCATCCCTCTTTGACTCCACTGTGTTTAGTTTCCTGCTGAGACAAGACCTCTCTGTGGCCTCAGTGCGAACTGCTCTATGTGCAGTCAATAAAAAAGGTTATAAAAGTGGATAAAAACAATAAATTCAGGAACAAACATTAAACCTTCTGCCTGAGGCTCGGAAACAGGACGTTACTCCTCCTCCAGCCTTTGGAGGTGTATATGTGTCGACCATTCAGAAAACTGGTAGTGAACTGTGTGTAAGTGTGTATGTGTGTATAGTGAGGTTGTGTCTGTTTACCGTGGCGGGCGGTCAGCAGGGCGGTCGTAGCAGGAGTGTTTGCTTGGTGCTGTATTTTGCGTCCCACAGGGAACCATTATTGGACGAGTGTGAAGTCGACTGACCTCAGCTTGGTGGTTTGTCCAGGCATTGACGGCGGAGAGGGGTGGGGGTGTGAGTGAGGGATCAGTTCATTTGAGTTTGAGTCAGAACATTGAGGCGGACGTTTTATCTCCGTACAGCCAAAACGATGACCCCCTGGTGCAGTACAGGTCATAGACTTCCTCCATGTTAGCAGATGGGACATCAAACTAAAGAATCAAAGTAGACGTGAAATAAATGTTTCTGTCATTTCAGCTCGTTCTTATCTGGTGTTTGTTCAAGTGTTTCTGATCAGTTTGGTTTTATTAGTTATTGATGATATAAAAACAGATGTTTCTGATAATCAGTGAGAATCTAAAATGATTAAATGTTTGATTGTTGATTGACGATGAGACTCAAACACAAACAACTGGACTGCTGTGTTTGTGAGGACACTGGTGCTTGTTATATTCCACAGTTTAAAAATGCTGAGCTGCTCTGTGGTATTTCACCCGCGGGCTGGAAAGTGTGGTTGGGCTGAGGTGACGGCGTCTGTTCAGCCGACGAACAGCTCGACTGAAAGAGCTGAAAACTCGGCCGCATCTCCTAAAACCAATGAGCGTCAGCCTGGAAGCAAACTGTGACACTTCACATTTGGATGGAAAATTAAAAAAAGTGCTGAAAATAACACTGAGCTAACAGGTTTGAAAAATCATTAATGTAAACAAAGCTGGATCTGCTCCGTCCAGGATATTTGAGCAAATATTCAAATCTGACACTTCACCGATGGAAACTGTCAGAGAGCTGAAAATGTTTCTGTTACACCTTCAGTAATGAGCTTTTAGAATTGATCGTTTACTGTTTGAAGTAGATTGCAGCAGAAACTCAATTTGGCTGATATTTGTCTTATTGATCTATGAGTCAACAAAGATACAAAATAAAAAAGATTATGCACAGATCATCAGGATGTCGGAACATTCAGTTTCCAGCTCTCAGTGGGACATTACCATAGACATTACACTATAAATGGAGCATTCAAATGAAAGATGCAGTGTGTAGGATTTAGTGACATCTCGTGGTGAAGTTGCATATTACAAACACATCTGCTTCCCAGTGTGCAGAGCTACATGTACAGTGACATCAGGTTGGTTTGTCTGTTCTCCTGTAGAAACCAAATAACAACATGTCTCCACTTCCTCATATTGGAAAAAGTGAAGTTAAAATATCTCAGATGTGAACGCTGCTATCTTGTGGTGATGATGTAATTTTCTGTTCAGTAGTGATCGTGGGTATTGAGGTACCGCCCATACATGCCCTTGACCAATCAGGAGTCAGTCTCATCTGTCAATCATGACGTCTCAGCCTGTTTAACACACAGCACTACATGTAATGGGGAAATTGACCCTCTGCTTTTAACCCGTCCGTGTGAACACAACACACACAGTGACCACACGGAGCAGTGGGCAGCTATGGAAAGTGCCCGGGGAGCAGATGTTGGGGGAGTAAGGTGCCTTGCTCAGGGGCACTTAGACAGTGGGATAGGGAGAGTCCATCTGTCCTCTTGGATTCCAACAGATCCAGGTCTAGTCCATCCTCCGGTTCAGGTATGTTTTGCCAGTCCGTGGACTCGAACCAGCCTGATGTCCCTCTTTTCTAACCACTAGTCCACCGCCGCTCCCAGATGTTTTTATATCATCAATAACTAATTAAACCAAACTGATCAGAAACACTTGAACAAACATCAGAGAGACAAGAACAAGCTGAAATGACAGAAACATCTTTGACAAACATTTATTTAACGTCTACTTTGATTCTTTAGTTTGGTTCATGTCCCAGCTGCTAACATGGAGGAAGGTTTATGACCAATACTGCAGCCGGACACTAGGGGGAGATAGATATGCTTTGGCTTCACTTTAAAGGAGCCATCATGTCCTAAACCCAACTTCCTGCCTTCAGTTCTTGAACAATAAAAGTCCTCCAGTGATACCTTGTTGTCCTCAGGTCACAGCTGCAGGTTGTGAAGATCCTTCACCTCAGTTTTTCCTGTTTGACTTCCTGTCTAAATCCATTGTGTGTGCAGGCATAAGTGGGTCGGCGATCGAGAGAGCTGTTCACTCGGGGATGATCAACCCGAGCCGTCAGTGGCAGGACCTGAACCATAACGGCCCTGTGGCTCAGTTCCGCTTCCAGGTCCGCCTCAGCTGCGACGAGCACTACTACGGCTTCGGCTGCAACAAGTTCTGCCGACCACGAGACGACTTCTTCGGACACTATGAGTGCGACCACAAGGGCAACAAGACGTGCCTGGAGGGCTGGTCCGGTCCGGACTGTAACACGGGTGAGTTCTCAGCTGTTTGAATTCTTCAAGTGGTGCATTCAATGATGGCGCTAACACTTGAGTGACCACAGATACAGAAACAACATAAATTAATTTCTTTTCGCTGTTGGTGTCCTGCTCTGCAGCAATCTGTCGACAGAGCTGCAGCACAGAACACGGGTCGTGTAAAGTTCCTGGAGAGTGCAGGTGAGAACCAACTTCTGGTTTTATTTAATTTTATTTATTATTTCATTATTATTTTCATTTGATTTAGTTTTTATTTTAGGAGGAGGCCAGAAAAACCTCCAGTCAGAGCAGCAGCTACACTGAAAGGATAAATCTGATTATTTATTTAATCATCAGAATTTTACTTCACTGTATATTTTACAGTTTCAAATAATGTATTTAATTTAATTTAATTCCTTTTTACAGTGCGGACTGTATCAGTGACTTCATGAGTTTGGTCATAGATTTCTGTTTAACACTAAATAAAGCTCAGACTTCTGGGAGACGGATCCTCACATGTGTCTCTCTGAGGTTTTTGCTGTTAAAAGGTTTCTTACTCTTGTTGAGTTAAGAACAGATGATGTCACACATTGTTAAGATATATGACACAAATTGTGATTTGTGAATATGGACTATACAAATAAAGTTTGATTGATTGATTGACTTCATCATTGAAATACATTTTCTGTGGAAGCAACAAAAAATACCTGATTTATTTATCAAGTTATTGAATTGATTTGTAGTAACAGTCAGGTGACTTGCGTTCATTAAGAGAGGTGGTTTTGATTTATTGATATTAGAGTGATTATAAATGATAAATGTCGAAGTTGATCAGAACATTGAAATTAAAACTTTATTTAAGTTGACAAGTCATCACTTCATCTCCTAATTATTTATTGAAAGTGTTTTCATCCACGTTTTTTTTCTTTTCTGAAACCATCGTTTTATCAATGTTTAATTCAAAACGATGAAAATTACGACAACCTACATTCTTCAATTAATATTTGTTGCCTCCGTCCCTCATACATGTGTTTGTGTGTGTCAGGTGTCTGTATGGATGGCAGGGTGAATACTGTGATCAGTGTATCTCTCACCCCGGCTGTGTTCATGGCAGCTGTTCGGAGCCCTGGCAATGTCTGTGTGACACCAACTATGGAGGACAGCTGTGTGACAAAGGTACACACACACACACACAACCTATAACTGACCTTGTTAATTCAGATAAACAGTAAATGTCATATTATGACACATAAGAAATGAGGAACACAAATAAACAGAGTTAATACATAACATTGTTAAAGTCTCAGTGTCGTCTTTGTCCAGATCTGAACACGTGTGGGACACTGCAGCCATGTTTGAATGGAGGAACCTGCAGCAACACGGGACCTGATAAATACCACTGCTCCTGTCGCGACGGATTCTCAGGAGTCAACTGTCAGAGTGGTGAGGGGCTGGGTTGCCGACATTGTGCCTTCCAGCAAGGCACTGCCACGAGATCTCAACCCTCTTGTGAAATGAGTAACAGTAGAATTAATAAAAATACAAATATAACCTTTGAATTTAATATGAAAAAAAATACAAGGCAATGATGGAGTGAAAAGGGGCAAAGATCTTCTTGATGTCTTTATGACCACGGTGTGTTTGTGTGTCTGTGTCACAGCCGATCACGCTTGTCTGTCCAACCCCTGTATGAATGCAGTTGGCTGTGTGGAAATCAGTCAGGGGTTCGAGTGTCGCTGTTCCCCCGGCTGGACCGGAACCTCCTGCTCCATCAGTACGACCTTCTACAGTCGCTCAATAACCCTTTTCTCTGTCTATCTCAGATGTGGACGATTGTCTGGTGAACCCCTGCAGTCATGGAGGGACGTGTCAGGACTTGGTCAATGGTTTCAAGTGCATCTGTCCTCCTCAGTGGATGGGGAAAACCTGCCTCATAGGTCAGTGCTCCACAGTCAACACTGACAGATATTTTATTTTGAAAGGTTAGAGTTGTTTATGAAACGTTTTATTGAAATGTTTCATCATTTAATTCACAAATAGAACCATTGATCGATCAGCTGATCATCTGATGGTCAGTATGGCCGTTTAAACTCGGTGCTCCGTCCTTCGCCTCCTTCTATGTCGAGACCTTTGGTTGGTTAATCTCCAGAGATTTTTTAGCTTCATTTCTGGAGGAAGTGGAGACACGTTGTCATCTTTATTTACAGTCTTTGATGCAGACTGTCGGTCTTAAAACATCATAAACCGAACAAAAAAAGAACACAGTTGATGGTGTAATCCACCTTGATGTTGGTTGCCACGGCCAATAAACTGTACAAAGAAGAAGAAGAAGTCACAATGTGTGGGAGCAGAGCTTTTGGAACTTCAGAGATCCATTGTTGTGAAATCGATAAAACAGCTTTGACGGGCAGAGTCGTTATTCAGGATGTCTATATGTCTATGTAACTTTTTATGAACATTAGATTTAAATGTGGGGATGTTATTTAGAAGTCGCTGCTGATTTCATCGCCCTTCATTAAATGATGTAGAACTCCTGACAAACTGCTGCACTTTCATTGTTTCCCATAATCCAACATTGTCATGTTAGTTTACAGACCAGTGTGTTGTTTTCTCTCACTGATGAACATTCACTGTGAATGAGTATAATTCCCGATGACAAGCAGCGTTCTGTCAACTCTTCTGCAATCTCTCGAAACTTCTCATTCTTTGTTCTTTTGCGTCAGATGCCAACGAGTGTGACAACGACCCCTGTGTCAACGCCAACTCCTGTCGAAATCTGATTGGTGGATACTTCTGTGATTGCGTCCCCGGTTGGATGGGCCAGAACTGCGATATGAGTGAGTGAGATGCTAGAGAGTGAGTTTGATGAGGAGGAGAGGCCAGAACCGTTTTCTTTAATTGTAAATGAAACGTTTACAGAAGTTGTTTTATCGTACTTTTCAGTCCAAAACAAAAATAAATCTATTATGTAAAAACAATATTCTCTTTAAGTGGTTGTTGCAGATTTTCCTCTGGACGCAGCTCTCTGTGTACATTGGCTGCATATTGTTCTTCCTTTTTTATCTATAGACTATAACACAGACTATACATACAAGTATATTTGTGTGTGTATATACAGTATACACACACATACACATATACACACACACACGATAATATTTATTTCTACATTTTATAATTGTTATAATTTGTACCATTATAGTTTATATGATCTACCACGTGTACTATTTTACTTGAACATTGGCTATTGTTTTTATTTGTGCACTGTTTTTACAGTTTTTACAGACACTGTACATATTATATATCGAATTTATATTCCATAATTATTCACAATAAGAATATGGGGTAAACCACACTGGTTTATTCTTTCTGTTGTTTTTAATTTGTTTAATTTTTATTATATATTTTACACAACCTCAGTTGTTGGAAGGTTCAAACCCGACAGTGTTCTAGAGGAAACAGAGTTCACCAGAGAAGCAGCTGTGTAACTGGGTCCATTCAGAACCTGGAGTCTCTCCAGTGTTTTCAATTGGACGCCTGTTACATTAATAATGCTAAACAAAAGCTAACGTCACATAAATAAACATCACTTATATTTACACTTTGCTTTTTATTCTAATTAAATGAACCAGATATAATTTGTTAAAATTAGACATCGTTCCCTTTTGACAGAGACTAAGCTAGCTAGCAGTTTCCTCTTTTTTGCCATGCTAGGCTAGGCTAACATAACAGCAGCTGGTTAGCTTCGTGTTTAGCGTACAGATTGGTATCGATCCTCTTATTTATGTTTCTCATTGAAAGTCGACTCATGTTTATCCTGAAATGTCAAATTATGGCTGTTTTATTAATAAAATATGAATTAAAGAACAAACAGTGTCGTGTGGATACTAGCTGCTCGTCAGTGCCATGAATCGATTTTGACATTATTTCATTTCTGTGATGTTCTTGACTTTTTAAATCTTTCTTTGTCTCCACCTCTTCCCCAGTGATTGACAGCTGCACAGTGGCAGTGGTGTCCAATAGCACACCGAGTGGGGTGCGTTTGATTTCTTCCAACGTGTGCGGCCCACATGGGCGGTGTCGGAGCCACGCCGGCGGACAGTTCAGCTGCGAGTGTGAGGACGGCTTCACGGGGACGTACTGTCATGAGAGTGAGTGAAGAAAATACATGTTGTGTTTTTACTTTCCCCGAAAACTACAAATGCTAATTTTCTCTTTCCATGTGTCTCAGACATTAATGACTGTGAGAGCGCCCCCTGTCTGAATGGAGGCACCTGTCTGGATAAAATCAATCATTATCAGTGTGTCTGTGCTGACGGCTGGGAAGGCGCCACCTGCCAACACAGTGAGTTGTCACCGTGGTGAGCGGCAGCAGTAGAAACGGTGCGGACACGTGTCGCTGACTTTTTTTGTTTTGTCGGTGCAGACGTGGACGACTGCAGCTCGGATCCCTGTCACAACGCCGGTGTGTGTCGAGACCTCGTCAACGACTTCTACTGCCACTGTAACAACGGCTGGAAGGGAAAGACCTGTCACTCAAGTGAGTCCCGCCCATACACTTTTTGTAAATGATGATTTTTGACTCCTCCTTCTTTTTTAAACAAGAAAATTCACATAATTTTATTTCAGTAAAATAACCAGTTCAAC